CGAAAGTAGGTCATTCGAAAGTGAAAGTAGTCTGGACACGGGTTTTTTTCGGGAAAAAAAACCTTTTTCAAAAAATCACGTAACCCTCCTTTTGTAATGGCCCTTTTTGTGGTCTTACGTGGGAAACATCGTTTACGTGTTCCCATAACACAAGACCGAGGGGGCCCCAAAACATACAGAAGGTAGTGTTTCTTCACACTACCCACAACTAACCTGTGGAACTCCTTGCCAGAGGATGTTGTGAAGACTGGACTTTTAAACAGGGTTTAAAAAAGAATTAGATAAATGCATAGATGTTAGGCCCATCGAAGGCTATTAATCAGGATGGATAGGAATGTTTGTCAGAAGGTGGGAATGGATGAAAGGGGAAGGATCACTTGATGGTTTCCTGTTCTGTTCACTGTCTCTGGGGCACCTGGCTTTGGCCACTATCAGCAGACAGGACAGTGGGCTGGACTGACCTTTGGTCTGACCCAGTCTGGTGGTTCTTATGTTCGTATGTTCACCTCGGAGAGGGGAGATATTGAACATGATCTTCCACCCTGCTGCCCACATGTATTCTCTAACCACCAGGTTATCTGGAATGATTGATCTTTGCTGAAAACATTTGGCTCATTGGAGAAAAATGCGTGAATCCCTTTGGGCTGCACAAATCAAGGATGCAGCCCAAGAAAGGTGGACACATGAGGCCAAGGATAACTCTGCAGCCAGGGAGTTTATGGTGCACCCTTTGGTGGTGGGAAATAAAATCTCAAAACCCTCTTTTAATTACTTTTTAATTAATTATGCCAAAATCCATCCATTCTTCACACAGCGTGTTGTCAACCTGTGGAACTCCTTGCCAGAGGAGGCTGTGAAGGCTAGGACTATAATAGAGTTTAAAAAGAAGCTGGATAAATTCACGGAGGTTAGGTCCATAAAAGGCTATTAGCCAGGGGATAAAATGGTGTCCTTGGCCTCTGTTTGGCAGAGGCTGGGGAGAGGGATGGCAGGAGACAAATCGCTTGATCATTGTCTTTGGTCCACCCTCTCTGGGGCACCTGGTGCTGGCCACTGTCGGTAGACAGGATACTGGGCTAGATGGACCTTTGGTCTGACCCAGTACGGCCGTTCTTATGTTCTTATGTAAATGGCTCCACCTTAAGACAAAAGAGAGAGAGAGAGAGAGAGAGATTATATATTCCTTTGTCTATGCCCACCATAGGGACTTGTAGGAAAGGACAGCAAGAGGATGTGTGTGGGAGGGGGAGGTAAGGATAACCACGGGAACCTAAGCAATTAAAAGGAAAGTGGGGAATTCCCAGTGTTTTTCGGAAGAAAAAAGGCCATAATAGAAGAAGAAAAAAGCCCCCAGGGTGACTCAGATTTTACTCTTTAATTCTTTTTTGGGAGGGAGGGGAGTTAAAATCTCTTATGTAGTGTATTGCTTGGTTGGATACAGGATGCTACCCTGGCTGAGATCGTTAATGTTACCTAATGCAATTTGAATAATCATTTCCTATTTATTTTCGCACATTCATGTCTTTTTATTTGGGTCAGGGAGGGAACCGAGTGTTGAACGTTTGTGCCAGACGGCTTCACTTTGCAAGTTATCTCCCTGTGTTTCTATCTGTATTGCTATCCATCTCTTTCCACATATCGATGTTTTAATGTGGCCTTCACCCTGAAAAGATGGATAAACAAGCAAGAAATTTAACCGGGCAGCAAACACAGAGATTCCTGCATCTCCCATGGACTTTCATCTTTGGTTTACCAAGCTACAGATCTGCGTAGATCACCACCCATTAAAAGTTCTCCACCCGCTGAAGGGACAACACTTTTTACCGGCATTCTTCTTCTTCGTCTTCTTCGTCTTCGTCTTCTTCAAATTCTCCACCCACTGGAGGGGCAACACGTTTTACCTACATTCTTCTTCTTCTTCTTCAAGTTCTCCACTCACTGGAAGGACAACACTTTTTACCGGCATTCTTCTTCTTCTTCTTCTTCTTCAAATTGTCCGCCCACAGGAGGGGCAACACGTTTTACCTACATTCTTCTTCTTCTTCTTCAAGTTCTCCACTCACTGGAAGGACAACACTTTTTACCGGCATTCTTCTTCTTCTTCTTCTAGTTCTCCACTCACTGGAAGGACAACACTTTTTACCGGCATTCTTCTTCTTCTTCTTCTAGTTCTCCACTCACTGGAAGGACAACACTTTTTACCGGCATTCTTCTTCTTCTTCTTCTACTACTACTTTTGAATGTCATGTTCAATGCTATATTTCTTCATCAAAGTTGGACATCCAAGCTCTCCAACCAGTGAACAGTGTCACTGGTTAGATTGTAGATATCCTCCAATGAGCCCGTGAATTTTCGTATTGGGCATTCCCCACCATTGTGGTGCATATTTTGCGGACTGCCACAATCACAAAGTGGAGATGACAACACATTCCACTTATTCAGTAGATAACCGCACCTGCCCTGACCAATCCTAAGCCGAGTTAGGACACACCACGATCTCCGGGGAAGATCGAAACCTTACTGCTCAGTGGTGGGAACCGATAGAAGATGCTTGTTTGGGACGTCTACGTGCTGTAATTCTGCTGGCCAAAGTCCTTAACATTGGCTGTGACTTCCTTTCCAAGCTGCCAGGGAGGCTTGCAGGATTTTAGAGGTGATGTTTGTGGCTGATCAAAGTATTTCTGGATAGGAAGAGGTTGGCTGCTGTGGTTGATATGTTGGTACAGTCTGCATTACTGCTCCCGTCGACGGATGCTTCATGGGGTGATGTTTGCCAGAAGCAGTAGGCTTTCAAATTCCTGTTGTCACTCGCATGGCGCAATTCAGTTGAGTGTTAACTAGTTTTGTGTGGGAACCTTCTGACCATACAGGAGAGCAATATTCAGCAACAGAATACACCAGGGCTATTGCTGAGGTCCTCAAGGTGCATACTGCAGTTCCTCAATGGGGCTCTAATCAAAACAGAAGATCATAATCAAGGATGAACCAATGTCTTTCATTTCAGCGGGAGTGGGAAAGTCCCAGAGACACACAACAAGGCTGTGTCTAGACTGGCCATTTTTTCCGCAGAATCAGCTGCTTTTGCGGAAAAACTTGCCAGCTGTCCACACTGGCCGCTTGAATTTCCACAAGAACACTGACGATCTCATGTAAGATTGTCAGTTTTCTTGCGGAAATACTATGTTGTTCCCATTTGGGCAAAAGCCTTCTTGTGCAAATCATTTGTGCAAGAGGGCCAGTGTAGACAGCACAGTACTGTTTTGTGCAAAAAAGCCCCGATGGCTAAAATGGCGATCGGGGCTTTTTTGCGCAAAAGCGCGTTTAGATTGGCACAGACGCTTTTCTGCAAAAAGTGCTTTTGCGGAAAAGCATCCTGCCAATCTAGACGCTCTTTTCCAAAAATGCTTTTGACGGAAAACTTTTCCATTAAAAGTATTTGCGGAAAATCATGCCAATCTAGACGTAGCCCAAATATTCATCTCCTTGCAGAATTTCTTCACGAGTGTTCATGTCTGGATGAACAAAGAAGGGGTCTTTCCCGAAATGTGTGTCTCGGGAAAAGCCCATAAACAGTCTGTAAAGAGTGTCTTTTTAAGTGCCAAGTTTTGTATAATGAAATGCGCATTAATTGTGTGAAAGATGACTATTCAGAAAGAAAGAAAGAAAGAATAACTTTGTTCTCACAGAATAAAATGGGCCCTAACTACAAAATTACATCTCTTCATCTCTATTTCAATATTGGGGAAAATTTGTCCAATCAGATTCTCTGCCTGTTTCTGAAGGCAACCAGTGTCCCAATCATTTTTCTCAGCGACTCTTTCACCTCCTTGTTCCTCAGGCTGTAGATAATGGGGGTGATCATGGGATTCAGGACTGTGTAGAAGAGCGAGAACACTTTGTGAAGGACTGCAGACATGTTGAGTGACGGAAACACGTAGACAATGATAAGGGTCACGTATATGATGGACACCACAATGAGGTGTGAGGAGCAGGTGGAAAAGGCCTTTTGCCGCCCGATGGAGGACGGGATTCGCAGGATGGAGGTGATGATACAAACATAGGAAGCCAGGGTCAATAACAAAGGCACTACTGTCCCAATGATAGAGCTAATTAATGTTGTCAGTTTCAGAAACTGGGGGTCGTAGCAGGAGAGCTTTATCATGGGTGAAAAATCACAGAAGTAATGGTCAATTTCTTGAGATTCACAGAACGTTAATGGGAACAAGAAACTAGTCAATACACCGACCACCAGAAAACTGTACAGCCAGGGGCCCGTCACTAGCAGGCAACACACCCAGCCGTTCATTAGGGCGGCGTATCGGAGCGGGTGGCATATCGCTAGATACCGGTCGTAAGACATAGCCATCAGGAGCAGATTTTCTGCCGTTGCTATGATGGCAAAAAAATAGGTTTGCACCAGGCAGGCCTTCACAGAAATGGTTCTGTCTCCCGTCTGAAGACTGGCCAAAAACTTGGGCAGGATGGTAGAGCTGTAGCAGATCTCCACGAAGGCCAAGTTCCCCAGGAAAAAGTACATTGGGGCATGAAAGTGAGGTTCAACCAGAACTAGCGCAATGATGAGGGTGTTTCCAGCCATAGTCACAAGATAGATCAGTAGAAACACGAGGAAAACAAGCGGCTGCAGGTCAGAGACATCCCCAAATCCTAAGAGGATGAATTCCAGGATCACAGTTTCATTTCTTCCTTCCATTTTCTCCATTACATGGATCTAGAAACAAAAACCCATGAGATATTAATACGATTAATGCAACCACATTGTGCAGAAAAAATGGCGTAGGTGACTTTGTACATCTGTGTCACTAGACAAGGGGGAGGGATAGTTCAGTGGTTTGAGCATTCATCTATTAAACCCAAGTTTGTGAGTTCAATCCTTGTGCAGGCTATTTAGGAATTTGGGGCAGAAATTTGTCAGGGATGGTACTTGGTCCTGCTGTGAAGGCAAGGGACTAGACTTAATGACTTTTTAAGCTCCCTTCCAGTCCTAGGAGATAGGCAATCTCCATACACATTTTTTTAGATGAGAAATCTGAAATTGTCACTCCTTCTGACACCCTTTTAGATACTTGAAAACCACTATCATGTCCCCTCTCAGTCTTCTCTTTTCCAAATAAACAAGCCCAGTTCTTTCAGTCTTCCCTCTTAGCTCCCGCTCTTTCAACCTTTCATCATTCTTCTCTGGACCTTCTCCAATTTCTCCACCTCTTCCTTGAAATGTGGTGCCCGGAACTGGACACAATCCTCCAACCGAGGACTAATAGGCGCAGAGTAAAACGGAAGAATGACTTCTCGTGTCTTGCTCACAACACTCCCGTGAATGCATCCTAGAATCAGGTTGGGTTTTTTTTGCAGCAGTGTCACACTGTTGACTCGTATTTAACTTGTGGTCCACTAGGACCCCTTAAGTCCTGCTGATCCAAGACTCCACACTGTCCCTTTGAAATGAGATGGCATTGTCCTTTGAAACATCTCCTCTTCCCCCCCGCTTTGCTTCCTCTATCTAATAGGAGCAATGCGGGGGAGAAAGGACGAAAGAATTGACCTGTCAACTAGTGGACTGACTATGGGATTTGCTTATCAAGTAGTCCACTAGTTGACTAGTCCTTAACATCCTTAACTGACACTGGCGCAATAACTGTTGGTGACAGAAAAACGGAACTGAAGAAAAAACGCAGCCACATACACAGTGCAGAAAGACTATGCATTTGTTTCAAAATTCGAAGGAGCAATCAAAGGTATGTAGTGAAAAGTAAAATATGCTGAGAAGGAGCCAACAATGGGAACAAAAATCATGACGGGAGATTCCCATCAAAGGCTATTAGCAGGGATGCAGAGGGATGATGTTCCTGGACTCTGTTTGACAGAATCTGGGAATGGGTGACAGGGAATCGGTCCCTTAACGATTAACTGGTTTTTTTGCATTCCCTGTAAAGCACCTAGCATTGATCGCAGTCAGGACACAGGACACTGGGCATGATGGATCTTTGGAAAATAGATGCATGTTTTTGGCACCCCTGTAAACCTCAATCTACGAGGAAGAAAGGGTGTACCGAAGAAGGGTTTTTTCCCCCAACATTTGGCCCTAGGGAGCCGGCCAAATGTTGGAAAAGCCTATTTCGGAAGAAAAGCAGGAAGAGATGCCAATTGTGGTTTGCCATTGATGTATCTTTTCCCGACGTTTCTTTGTAGCGTCGACACAGCCGATGTGACTGAAAAACGGAAATGCAGAAAAAAACACACCCGTAAACACAGTGAAGGAAGAGTATACACTTGTTTCAAAATTTGAATGAGCAATCAGACGTAGGGAGAGACCATTAAAATACACTGAGAAGGAGCCAATGATTTTAAAACAAATTCCCGAAGAAGATGTCCATCGATGACCCTTAAAAGGGCAACGCCTGCTTTCCTGTTAAAAGGGCTAACTTTTTTTTTTTTTGCTCAACAAAAAACCCCTGGTGTTCTGCAATACAAAAAAAATATTGTTTGGTGTTCCTTAGTCTTAAAACGTTTAAGAAACACAGCTCTAATCCACCAGTCTGGGGTCCCGCTTCCACTGTGCTGCTGTGACCAGCTGCTGACCCACTCCCGGTCCCATCATTTCCACAAGTCGGGATCTTCCCAGCTTCACTATCCAGCCTAGTTCCAAACACCGAACAGGTACTAGGTTTGATTCCCCCCTTAATGTGGAGAGGTGCATGCCCCTTTGTGCTAACCAAAATGAGATTTTTCCCATACACTCCACTTCAAGGAAACCTGGTGTTGGTTCAACCCCCCCAAAAGTTTATGAACTATAAAGAAAAAATTGTAAGTGACAGTAAAGGCTAGAACCCCATTCGAGCAGCATAACAGCAAATACAAAATCACGTGAATCAGGCATAACAAACAAGTTTGCTTAACTGCAAAGGAGCCGTTTCTCACCCTGGCTGATGATGCCAACAAACAGGCAGATTCTCAAGGAATCTGTTGCTGCAGCTTCGGTTTCTCGAGTTTCCAGCCTGGAGATTACTTATGCCTGGGTCCAGCACATTCCACCTGTTCTGTCTTTGCTCCTCGGGTCTTTCCAGGAGTCCTCTTGTGCAAAGGAGAACTAGTGAGGTCACCCCATGGTTTATATAGATTGAGCACAGGGCAGGAACCCTTTCTTTCAGCACTTAATTCAGAGACCGATTTGTGGAAAAACACAAACATCTCTAGATGGTGCCTAGAGACGTAGGCCTTGTTGGCCTGCCCATGGACAGTCACAACAACCATTAATTACGGGCTCGTGGGAGAGTTCTCAGCAAGGCTCGTCATGAGGGAGAGATGCTTCTCCTCAGGCCCATTGGTTTCCCTAATGACTCGTTAACTCCAATAGGCCCTTCTCAACCAGCTATCTGGACTAATAGCATCTGGCCTCATGGGAGTTACCAGGTGTAAGTACGTTGGAAATAGACACACCCAATAATCAGAACTTCAGAGACAACAATGACACATCTACGTGACTTGGACAATCATATGCAGGAAATCAGAACTTTTCCATTGACACCTTATACAGCCTATTTTGCACAAAAGGCCTAATCATTGTGCAATAACTATACCATCCCAACATCACAGGATACTTCTAGACTACGTTCTTTGGGTTTTTTTCGAAAGAGGAGATGCAAATTCTGCAGGAATTTGTGTATCTTCTTCCAATCACATTTTCGAAAGAGGCTCTTTCGAATGTGTGTTTGGATGCATTTTTTTTCAGAATAAAAACCCGTTTTCGAAAAAAACCTGCTCTTCCTAAAAAAAAGGAGGTTTACATGTTTTTTTTAAAAGAAGGGAGTTTTTTCCTGAAAAAAAAAATGCGTCCAGACTACTTTCACTTTCAAAAGATCCTCTTTCAAAAATGTCATCGGAAGAAGATACACAAATTCCTGCAGAATTTGCATCTCCTCTTTCGAAAAAAACCCAAAGAACGTAGTCTAGAAGTATCCTGTGATGTTGGGATGGTATAGTTATTGCACAATGATTAGGCCTTTTGTGCAAAATAGGCTGTATAAGGTGTCAATGGAAAAGTTCTGATTTCCTGCATATGATTGTCCAAGTCACGTAGATGTGTCATTGTTGTCTCTGAAGTTCTGATTATTGGGTGTGTCTATTTCCAACATACTTACATCTGGTAACTCCCATGAGGCCAGATGCTATTAGTCCAGATAGCTGGTTGATTCCCGTGGAATTTGCACATTGTCTTTCGGAAAAATACACGTAGTCTAGACATTCAAACACTGTAGAATATGGTGTGCATTGACACAGCTACTGTCTTTATGGATGTTCTCCTTGGACAAAGCAAGACATCCTTTTCATTATTACACGAATACCTGAGCTGTTTGGATTTTTTTTTATTTCTAAATCAAAAGATTTAATTTTGAGCATGTGGCTTTAATTTTCACACGTGCCAGCTACACGAGAATCCTAAACCTCCCTTCAAATGATGCGAGATAAAAGTCTAGTTTTTGCACAACATTTTCCTTTCTATTCTGCTGTGGTGGTTTTCAAATTTCTCAGAAAACTGAGCTTTGATTTCTTGTCTGGAGGCCTGGATTTTACTGAGATTTTTAGTGCATTTTGTTGCTATTCCCTTTCACAGAAATTCATGTGTCTCTTGGCTGTTAATTTCTCCCTCCTAGGAGATGACTATTTCCCTTGATACTTCTGCTACTGGGAATTGGAAATGATTAAACAGAGGAATGTTTCTATTTATTTGAGATAGGAAAACCATGTTAAAGGGGCAGTCTTATTATGAACCTCAGAGGGGAAGTCCTGGCAAATAACTGATTCCAAAGCGAAAACAATAGAGATGGAAGACCTCTTGACCCGAAAATTGAAACAAGAGAAGAAAAGAAAGGTCTCATTTCAAAGGAAATTAACGTGGACAGAATATCTTATCTCACTGGAAATCTCTGTTCATCTTATTTATGACATGAGTCAATCTACTAGCATACTAATAAAAAAACGCCCATTCTCTTTTATGGGAAGAAAATTATATGCTTCCAGGTCAATTTGATCTCTGGGCCTGGAATTTCAAATGCAAGACACGAAGAGCCCTAAGCTACTAACTGAATAAAGTGACATTGGCCGTGATTCTTATAGGTGCCTAAGGGATTTAGACACCTGGCTGCATTTGAAGAGGCATTCTTGGCTAAAGCTCCCAATTCAGTCTGATTGCTGCACCTTGAACTCCAAATGCAGGACAGCTGCCACCTACATAAAGTTTCCTTCTCCTTGATCTCATGGGCTGCGATTTTTATAATAACCTAAGGGATTTAAATAAGGACATAAGAACGGCCACACTGGTTCTGACCAAAGTTCCATCTAGTTCCATTTCCTGTCTTCTGATAGTGGCCAATGCCAGGTGCTCCAAAGGAAATGAACAGAACAGAGAATCATCTAGCTATCCAAACCCCACTGTCCATTCCCAGCTTCTGACGATCGGAAGCTACAGACACCATCTTTCCTCAATAGTCATAAATAGATCCATCCTCCATGAATGAGTCTAATTCCTTTCTGAATCATGTTGAAATTCTAGCCTTCAAAATGTCCTCTTGCAAGGAGTTCCACAGGTTGGCTGTGCCCTGTGTGAAGGCAACTAACTGCCTTTGAACTTACCCGGAGGACAACAGATCCCTGGTCAAGTCACTTCTGCATTTCAAGTGGAGGGGGGACTTATTTGGGAATCTGCCATGGCTATGGGGAATACTCTGTCTTCGGCCACAAATTACTCTCATTACCTTGTTCCATGCATAGCCTTTAGCTATTTACCAGGCTTATCTGAGCTGCCTTCCAGAGGTGAACATCTGATTCCAGTGCAATTTGGTTGAAAGAATCAGGAAAGGGGAAACTGCAAAATATTCTTGAAGTTTTCCCTAGTGTTTCCCAGTGCAAATTTCCCCATAGCAGGAGTGGGGGGAGGGGGAGGGGATTTTTCTCCTTGGCCTCTGAAGACAGGACAAGAAGCAATGGGCTTAAACTGCAGCAAATGCAGGTGAGATTGGACAGTAGGAAAAACTTCCTACCTGTCAGCGTGGTTCGACACTGGAATAAATTGCGTAGGGAGATAGTGGTATCTCCATTACTGGAGAATCCCTAAAGATTCTGAAGTCCCGGCTTCTATGATTCACTTTGAAGAGAAAGAGAGAGAAAGATTGTGCAGAGAGTATTGCACAGGATAGTACGGCTGTGTCTAGACTGGCAAGTTTTTCCGGAAAATCAGCTGCTTTTCCGGAAAAACTTGCCAGCTGTCTACACTGGCCACTTGAATTTCCGCAAAAGCACTGATGATCTCCTGTAAGATCGTCAGTGTTTTTCTGGAAATACTATGCTGCTTCCGTTCGGGCAAAAGTCTTTTTCCGAAAGACTTTTGCGCAAAAAGGCCAGTATAGACAGCCCAGTACAGTTTTCTGCAAAAAAGTCCCGATCACGAAAATGGAGTTCGGGTCTTTTTTTGCGGAAAAGCGTCCGTGGCCAATCTAGACGCGCTTTTCCGAAAATGCTTTTAACAGAAAACTTTTCCGTTAAAAGCATTTTCGGAAAATCATGCCAGTGTAGACGTAGCCTACATCTTTTTCCCAAGTTATGTCTAGCCTGCTGCTTTCCATCGGAAAAATATATTCCACAATTTGTGTACCTTTTTCCGATAGTTTTATGGGAAAAAGTTTTTCCAAAATTTGACCTGTCTACACTGCGCCAAATTTTGAAAAATACGCTCCTCTTTCGGAAAAGCCCTTCTTCCTTGAAGACACAGCTTCCAAAAAACCATGTCTTCTCTTCTGCAAAAAATGTCAGAAGAGTAGACACATTCCTTGGATATGGTGGATTTTTTTCTGGATACCAGAGGTCTCCGTAGTCTCAACATAGCCTTCCTGTGTGAAAGTGAAAACTTCTCCACCGTAAGCAGGGAAGATCGTGCATGTCTACCCTGCATTCCTCTTTTGAGGGAGGAATGCAACTGCAGCTGAACAAAATTGTAAATGAAGCACGGATTTGAATTTCCTGCATTTCATTTGCATAATTGTGGAGCTTTTTCAAAATATCCTATTTTGGGAAAAAAGCGCTGTTTATTATTTTGGAAAAGAAACCCTGCTTTCAAAATAACCCTTATTCCTTAAAAAATTAGGTTTAAGGGTTATTTCGAAAAAAGAGGGTTTTATTCCAAATAAGAAACGGCGTTTTTTCCCCCAAAAGATTATTTCGAAAGAGGGTTTTTTTTCAAAATAACCCCATATAGACAGTGTTTCTTTTTCCAAAATAGGGTGTTTCAAAAAAGCGCTCAGATGACATTATGCAAATCATAGAATCATAGAATACTAGGACTGGAAGGGACCTCGAGAGGTCATCGAGTCCAGTCCTCTGTCCTCACGGCAAGACCAAATACTGTCTAGACCCGTGGTCCCCAACACGGTGCCCGAAGGCGCCGTGGCACCCGCGGGGGCATTTCTCTGCGCCTGCCAAGTGCTCAGGGCTTGCCTGGCTCCGGGCACGTGGTGCATACGTGGTGCCGGAGCCGGCCCTGGGCGCGTGGCGCACGGTGAGCGCTGGCCCCGGGGGCACCGCGGATTCACCCCCCGCGGCGCATGGGGGGGAGAGAGCGCCAG